TGGAGAAATAATATTTTGTAAAAGAAAGATTCCATATCTTCATTGAAGGAAGACCATATATTATCAATATGGACTTTATTTAATGGACTTTATGTTGTATCTTATATAAGTTTGATATATATTGATTTATATATTTTTTTTTGGCACACAGCTGCACTTTATTTGGTGGTTTTTTTATTTAATTTAATTTTATTCTTACTTACTTATATATTATTTATTATTATTTTTTATATGACACTTATATTTAGGTAAAGTTGAAGTTTGAGAGTGCTGTTTTTGTGGGTTTTTTCACATATTTTTTCATATAAATCAAATTACTGAATAATAGCAGCTCTAATTAAATCAACTATTGAGATTACTACATTCATGATGCGAGATGCTATAGGCTCTTGGACATATTGATATTATATCACTTTTATCCTCTGGCCTATATATCTCTTATTTAATAAATGTGCCTTCTCGTTGTCCCCCAGTCACCCACTCTAGATTATTTTGTAAAGGGCCTGCATGCTCTGACCTTTTTAGGTGGATCAATATAAATTGACATACATTATAAATGCAAAATTACTAAACATAATCACGAATATTAGACATAATCAGGCATTACCGATAAATGAATTAAATGTCCCACTCTATATTCATACCATAAAGGGAAAAAAAATTTAAGATCATACATGTGATGAAAGATTTTATAGAAGACTGTTTGGAAGTAACCGTGGACTTAAAAGTATTGCATTTCTTGCAAAGAATGTTATGTCGACAGACAGAACATTTCTTGCATGGACAATATCCCTTGACATCATGAAAAAATTTCATGAATGGAAATATCCTCCTGCGCTTGGTATGGGTGAGTCCCTATCCTAACAGCTGCTATCACTCTGCCTTAACCAATAAGTGATAAAATATCAAACACAAAAATAGTGAAGCGCTAGAATGAATCCCTAAATACGCACACAGTGCATATAATATTAAATGAAAACCATACCTCATAAATAAAATATATCCGTGACGTAAAAAATATATATCAATAGAAAACCAAATATATAAAGAAAATCTTTTTCTTGCCCCTAAATTATTTCTTCAAATCAAACATTAATAGAAAATCCATAATAATGCGAATAAATAGTGATGAAAAAAAAAAAATATATATATATAAAAAACTGTGTTAATTAACATATATATATATATGTGATAATTCCAATAATAAATGTGACAATAAAAAATATGAATAGTGAATCTCAATCAAATATACGTGATTGATGTGAAAAAACCATAAATTAAACTATTACATATAAAAAAATCCACTGAAACTTGTGATGTTTAAATATAAAAAAGTGTCCATAAATGAACAATCACAGTCCATGCAATACGGTGAAAACGACACTCAGTGTTCTTCACTTCTAGTGCTCAAAAAAAGAAAGGGAAGAAATCCTCCAATGGCAGCAATGCCTGCTCACCTCCCCAACTCGACCCGCAAAGGGCCACAAGGCTATAACTCTCCTCCAGGTAATCCTTTGCTTCCAAGCAGCTCAGTAAGGAATCACAGGACCTCCTCTCCACCTCCAAACTTCAGTTCTGGGTATTTCACCTAATTTTCACTGTACAGCAACTTTCTTCCCATGCAAGAGGGGTGTCCAGCCCAGCTCCTTAATGATAACACAAATGTCCCACTAGCTCTGGAGTCCAACTGCTAGCCACACATTTCCCAATCTGTAAGCACTCACAGACTGCAATTCCCTCAAATTGCAGGGAATTGCAGTCTGTGAGTGCTTACAGATTGGGAAATGTGTGGCTAGCAGTTGGACTCCAGAGCTAGTGGGACATTTGTGTTATCATTAAGGAGCTGGGCTGGACACCCCTCTTGCATGGGAAGAAAGTTGCTGTACAGTGAAAATTAGGTGAAATACCCAGAACTGAAGTTTGGAGGTGGAGAGGAGGTCCTGTGATTCCTTACTGAGCTGCTTGGAAGCAAAGGATTACCTGGAGGAGAGTTATAGCCTTGTGGCCCTTTGCGGGTCGAGTTGGGGAGGTGAGCAGGCATTGCTGCCATTGGAGGATTTCTTCCCTTTCTTTTTTTGAGCACTAGAAGTGAAGAACACTGAGTGTCGTTTTCACCGTATTGCATGGACTGTGATTGTTCATTTATGGACACTTTTTTATATTTAAACATCACAAGTTTCAGTGGATTTTTTTATATGTAATAGTTTAATTTATGGTTTTTTCACATCAATCACGTATATTTGATTGAGATTCACTATTCATATTTTTTATTGTCACATTTATTATTGGAATTATCACATATATATATATATGTTAATTAACACAGTTTTTTTATATATATATATATTTTTTTTTTTCATCACTATTTATTCGCATTATTATGGATTTTCTATTAATGTTTGATTTGAAGAAATAATTTAGGGGCAAGAAAAAGATTTTCTTTATATATTTGGTTTTCTATTGATATATATTTTTTACGTCACGGATATATTTTATTTATGAGGTATGGTTTTCATTTAATATTATATGCACTGTGTGCGTATTTAGGGATTCATTCTAGCGCTTCACTATTTTTGTGTTTGATGAAAAAATTTCAATCGCTCAGGGGGATCAACAACGTTAGGTGCCACTCTTGCACGAAGGGAAGGTAATCCTCTGAATACCACTGCTGGTCTTGCAGGTAGAAGTAGACCCAAAACCTTATCATTTTTGAGGATTCCCCAATGTTTTTTGAAAATATTTTGTATCTGTCTATACTGTATCGAATATGTAGTAATGAAAGACAATTTGAATTTATTAGATTCATCTTGTTTAATTTTGTCCTGCAATAAACTTTCCCTACTCATATGCTTAATATTAGATATTTCTAAGTCTAATGTATGTACAGTTGCAAAAAAAAAGTATGTGAACCCCTTGGGATTACGTGGAGTTTTGCATGAATTGGGCATAAAATGTGCTCTGAACGTCATCTAAGTCACAACAATAGAAGAACACAGTCTGCTGAACATAATACTACACAAACATTAGATGTTGCCATGGTTTAATTGCACATAACATGTAAACATTCACAGTGCAGGGAGGAAAAAGTATGTGAACCTTTGGACTTAACTGGTTGACCCTCCTTTGGCAGCAATAACCTCAACCAAACGTTTCCTGTAGTTGCAGATCAGACCTGCACAACGATCTGGAGTAATTTTGGACCCTCTCCTCTTCACAAAACTGTTTCAGTGTAGCAATATTCTTGGGATGTCTGGTGTGAATCGCTCTCTTAAGGTCATGCCACAGCATTTCAATCGGGTTGAGGTCAGGACTCTGACTGGGCCACTCCAGAAGGCGTATTCTGTGCTGTTGCAGCCATTGTTTTGTTGAATTACTTGTATTCTTTGGGTCATTGTCCTGTTGCATCAACCATCCTCTGCGGAGCTTCAGTTGGCGGACAGATGGTCGTACGTTTTCCTGCAAAATGTCTTGATAAACTCTGGAATTCATTTTCCCATCAATGACAACAATTCGTCCAGGCCCTGAGGCAGCAAAGCAGCCCCAAACCATGATGCTCCCTCCGCCATGTTTTACAGTGGGGATGAGGTTTTGATGTTGGTGTGCTGTGCCTTTTTTTCTCCACACATAGTGTTGTGTGTTCTTCCCAAACAACTCAATCTTGGTTTCATCTGTCCACAGTATATTTTGCCAGTAGTGCTGTGGAACATCCAGGTGCTCTTTTGCAAACTTCAAACGTGCTGCAATATTTTTTTTGGACAGCAATGGCTTCCTCCGTGGTGTCCTCCCATGTACTCCATTCTTGTTTAATGTTTTCCTTATTGTAGATGTGTCAACAAAAATGTTAGCATGTGCCAGAGATTTCTGTAGGTCTTTAGCTGACACTCTGGGATTGTTCTTTACCTCATGCGGATTCTGCGCTTTGCTCTTGCAGTCATTTTTACAGGACGACCATGCCTAGGGAGAGTAGCAACAGTGCTAAACTTTCTCCATTTGTAGACAGTCTGTCTTACCGTGGACACATGAACATCAAGGCTTTTGGAGATACTTTTGTAACCCTTTCCAGCTTCATGCAAGTCAACAATTCTTGATCGTAGGTCTTCTGAGAGCTCTTTTCTGCGAGGCATGGTTCACATCAGACAGTGCTTCTTGAAACCAGTAAACCCAAACCGGTGTGTGTTTTTTAAGGGCAGGACAGCTGTCAGCAACACATCCAATATCATCACACTGATTGGAGTCAAGGTTGGCTCATTCCTGGCTCCAATTAGCTCTGGGAGAAGTCATTAAGCTAGGGCCTCACATACTTTTTCCTCCCTGCACTGTGAATGTTTACATGTTATGTGCAATTAAACCATGGCAACATCTAATGTTTTTGTGTAGTATTATGTTCAGCAGACTGTGTTCTTCTATTGTTGTGACTTAGATGACGTTCAGAGCACATTTTATGCCCAATTCATGCAAAACTCCACATAATCCCAAGGGGTTCACATACTTTTTCTTGCAACTGTATGTACCTTTGTTGCGTGGCAATGTATTTATATGATTTGTACACAATTGATCTGATTGTTTTGCCAGCAGCTAATTTTTGCATTTTTTTCACTTTTTGCGCAGCTTTGTTTTTACATTTCATTTAAATGAATAGGATGCCTTGCACGAGCAACGCAGCCACAGGGAAACCGCATATACGGGAACCATAGCTTATGAAATATGATCATTGCATTTTTGGATTAACTAATTTAAATGAATATTATATTAACTTTTTATTTAACTTTGTTTATTGGTAGTATTTAGATTACTACTGTTAAGGAGTTTATCATATCCCTTTTTTTTTTCTCTGGAGAGCCCGAAATATACTTTTTGTGTCTACTGGATTGTACTACTTTTTTTCTGCCAGAGGAACTCTACTGCATCCCCTACAGCAAACTGTGATTTTGTGTTATATTCTTGTCACAGAGTTAATGGAGTTGCTTATATTACACTGAAAACAATTTCCGCATTATTACCATTTAAAATTTACTGCACACACAGGAAGGCAACAGCCAAACATATCAACAACTTTCATAGGAAGGTCCAAACCACTGGAAGACTTGTGGAGACAAACTCCTAGGTCAGCCGATCCTACAGCAGTACAAAAAAAAAAAAGCAAATAAACAAAAAAGTATCTTTTTTAGTTTTTAACATTAATCTTCCAATAATATATACTGAAACACTCCTAGTAGTTTGTTGTGAAGTTAACATCAAAATTTAAATCCACCAAACAGTAATGCATACTATAATATAAAAGATAAAAGCTGGTGGGTTAAGTTAGCTTTTTATGTGCTTTTGTTACCCAAAAAGTGAGAATACTTCTACCACAGCAAGGGTTTACACCCAATAACTCAAACATGGAGACTTCACCAATAGAGACACTGAGTGATATAATTAACTGTCAGGTGGTTCAACTCTCTATCATCTACCAAAAACTGAAATATCAGTTCTGAATAGACTTGCCCTCTGACCTGTCTTTTGCAAAAATGTGGAACAAAGCTTGTTCACAGCATAACAAATCAATGTGCATCATATTGACATGCATTTTAGACATTTCTTTTTTAGCTTTTCATAGTATATGAAATAATCAAAGCTTCCAGGACAGGCCAAATTTTGATGTTTTGGTATAGATGGGTTTACTCAATAACTATTCAACCACTTTGCATACCACCAATAATTTGTTTCCTAAAAAAATAATCCTACGGTCACCCTCCTCCTCCATCCTACACTCCCTCACTCACATCTTCAATCTCTCCCTCTCTACTGGTGCATTCCCCTCCCCCCTAAAGCACGCGCACATCACGCCCATACTCAAAAAACCCTCCCTGGACCCCACCGACCTGAACAACCTTAGACCCATCTTCCTGCTGCCATTTACATCCAAACTCCTCGAGCGCTTAGTCTATAATCGGCTAAGCTCCCACCTCAACGACAACAACCTCCTTGATCCCCTACAGTCTGGCTTCAGTCCCCTACACTCCACCAAAACCACCGTACTCAAACTCACTAACGACCTGCTAACCGCCAAAGCTAATGGCCACTATTCAGTGCTCCTACTCCTCGACCTCTCCGCGGCCTTCGACACAGTTGACCACCCCCCTCCTCCTTAAAAAACTATACTCCCTTGGCCTCAGAGATTCCGCTCTCTCCTGGCTCTCCTCCTATCTATCCCAGCGCTCCTTCAGTGTTACCTATAACGCTGCCACCTCCCCCTCTCTCTGTTGGGGTCCCCCAAGGCTCTGTCCTTGGGCCTCTTCTCTTCTCCATCTACACCTCCTCCCTTGGCCAACTGATACACTCCCACGGCTTCAACTACCAACTCTACGCCGATGACACGCAAATCTATCTCTCTACCCCTCGCCTCACCCCTACAGTCTCCGCCCGAATCACCTGTCTACTGAACGACAAAATCAGACTGGATGTCACTCCAATTTCTCAAATTAAACCTTTCCAAAACCGAGCTCCTAGTTTTCCCCTGAGCCTGCGCCCCCCCAACCTCTCCATCACGACCAATAACGCCATCATCAGTCCCTCCCCGCAAGACAAAGTTCTAGGTGTGACTCTAGACTCCAATCTGTCCTTCCAGCCACATGTCCACTCGCTGGCAAACTCATGCAGGCTCCACCTCCGCAACATCTCCAAAATACGTTCGTTCCTAACCCCAGCCAATACTAAACAACTCATTCACTCCCTCATTATCCCATGGCTCAACTACTGCAACTCCCTCCTCACTGGCTTACCTCATCACAGACTATCCCCCGCTTCAGTCTATCCTGAACTCTGCGGGCAGACTCATCCACCTTACCAACCGCTCTGTATCCGCCACCCCCCTCTGTCATTCCCTCTACTGGCTTCCGATTGCCCAACGCATAAAATTCAAACTACTAACATTGACGTACATAGCTATTCATAACACTACCCCAAACTACCTCACCGACCTGATATCCAAATACCACCCAACACGTACTCTTCGCTCCTCACAAGACCTACTCTCTAGCTCCCTGGTCTCCTCTTCCCATGCCTGACTCCAGGTCTTCCCCCATCCTCTGGAACCCACTACCCCAATCCATCAGACTGTCACCTACCCTCCTCACATTTACACCCTGAAAACCCATCTCTTCAGGGAAGCCTACCCCACCCTCACCTAACTGCTGATCTCCTCCACTCCTCCTACCACTCCACCCCCCACAGCCATTTCCTCCTGTACAACTATCCCCTCCCTCCTAGATTGTAAGCTCGAAAGAGCAGGGCCCTCGAACCCCTCGTATACTGTTTTGTTACTGTATTGTCTCATGTACTGTCCCCCACTACTCTGTACAGCGCTGAGCAAACTTTTTGGCGCTATAAAAATACTGTATAATAATATAACAACCAGAGAAATGGACATGATACCATGGCTGTAAATCAATTGGTTCAAGACAATGTTAATTTGAAGCAGGGGCATTGAGAATGTGTTAAATAAAAGAGACAAGACTCTGAAAACTTAAAATATAAATATTTCTGAGCCAACAATGTGCTTGCAAAACACTGAAACCTATGTTAAAAATGGTAAAAACCTCTTACAGACCATAAATTCAAAATTAAATCAAAATTACAAAATTATTCTTCTACTCTATGGTGTGTGCAAGAATGTATAAAATGTAATCATGGCTTATTCATGAGCCCTGACTGTGTATGTGTGGGAGGAGGGGTGTCTTCTCATTTAGCTATTACAGTTTTTCATATCATTTTACAATGGTTTACCTTTTCTCCTTTTTACTACTACTACTACTACTAATAGAACCACCATGGGACTGATAACCCCCCCCCCCAATGTGATAGTAGTGACAAGCTGTCTTTATTGAGATGATAGGGGTCTATTAGACACATGATTTCAGGTCTGCATTTAGACCAAGCACATCAAAGACTAAAAGTCCTGACTGGTCTGTACTAGGGTTGCACCGATACCATTTTTTTTTTTTAACAGCGAGCACGAGTACCAATACTTGAGCTCAAGTGCTTGCCAATGCCGATTACTGATACCGATTAAGGATGATCAGTGGGAACAGGATGCACCAGAGCTCAATTTTGAGTGTCATGGCAAAGGCTGTGAATACTTATGTACATGTGTTTTGTTTTTTTTTAATAAATTGCAAAGGTGTCAACATTGTGGTATTGTTTGTTGAGGAAAAAAATAAATGTAATCCTTTTTGGAATAAGGCTGTAACATAACAAAATATGGCAAAAGTTAAGTGCTGTGAATACTTTCTGGATGCACTGTAGATATCCAGAACAATTTTTTTCCCCTTTGAGATCTGATGTGTTTTTTAAAGTGTTCCTTTAATTTTTTTAAGCAGTGTATATACACACTATATTGCCAAAAGTATTGGGACACCCCTCCAAATCATTGGATTCAGGTGTTCCAAATCGCCTCCATGGCCACAGGTGTATAAAATCAAGCACCTAGGCATGCAGACTGCTTCTACAAACATTTGTGAAAGAATGGGTTTTTCTCAGAAGCTCAGTGCATTCAAGCGTGATACCGTGATAGGTTGCCATCTGTGCAATAGGTCCATCCGTGAAATTTTCTTGCTTGAATTTCCTAGCATGCTGAAGCGCACAGTGAGCAGAAGTAACTAACTGTCTGCAGAGTTAATAACTAAAGACCTCCAAACTTCACGTGGCCTTCAGATTAGCACAACAGTGCATAGAAAGCTTCATGGAATGGGTTTCCATGGCCAAGCAGCTGCATCCAAGCCTTACATCATCAAGTGCAATGCAAAGCATCAGATGCAGTGGTGTAAAGTACGCCGCCACAGGACTCTAGAGCAATGGAGACATGTTCTCTAGTGACAGTGTCAAGTGACAAAATCATGCTTCTCAGTCTGGCAATCCGATGGATGTCTCTGGGTTTGGCGGTTGCAAGCAGACCTTGTCTGACTGCATTGTTCCAAGTGTAAAGTTTGGTGAAGGGGGGATTATGGTTTAGGGTTGCTTTTCAGGGGTTGGGCCTGGCCCCTTAGTTCCAGTGAAGGAAACTCTTAAGGCATCAGCATACCAACACATTTTGGGCAATTCATGCTCCCAATTTTATGGGAACAGTTTGGGGATGGCCCCTTTCTATTCCAACATGACTGCACACGAGTGCACAAAGCAAGGTCCATAAAGACATGGATGAGTGAGTTTGGGGTTGAGGAACTTGGCCTGCACAGAGTCCTGACCTCAACCCAATAGAACGCCTTTGGGATGAATAAGTGTGGAGACTGCAAGCCAGGCCTTCTTGTCCGACATCAGTGCCTGACCTCACAAATACGCTTCAGGAAGAATGGTCAAACATTCCCATAGACACACTCCTAAACCTTGTGGACAGCCTTCTCAAAAGAATTGAAGCTGTTGTAGCCGCAATGGGTGGGCCAACTCAATATTGAACCCTACGGACTAAGACTGGAATGCCATTAAAGTTCATGTGCGTGTAAAGACAGGTGTCCCTGTTTGCAATATAGTGTATATATATTCCAAATTGCTTAGCAATGGGTAACAATTAATATTAAAAACAATTATATTTTAGTAGTACTCGTACATCTAGAAACTGCCACATTTATATGGGAACAGATACTAGTCACTGCATTGCTGGCCGCTTTTCTAGCAATTGTAATCACTTCTAACCAGCTTTCAATAGCGAAATAACAAAACTGTGGATCAAAACAACCTACCACCAACGATTAAATATAATTATATGGTGGTAGATTACCTTGAGTTGTTTATCTACATTTGAAATTGTAGTGGGACTGTATAAATACAAGTGAAACTCAAAAAATTGCAAAATCGTGCAAAAGTTCATTTATTTCAGTAATGCAACTTAAAAGGTGAAACTAATATATGAGATAGACTCATTACATGCAAAGCAAGATAGTTCAAGCCGTGATTTGTCATAATTGTGATGATTATGGCTTATAGCTCATGAAAACCCCAAATCCACAATCTCAGAAAATTAGAATGTTGTGAAAAGGTGCAATATTCTCGGCTCAAAGTGTCCCACTCTAATCAGCTAATTAGGCCATAACACCTGCAAAGGGTTCCTGAGCCTTTAAATGGTCTCTCAGTCTGGTTCA